GAGGAGATGTAGCAGAAATATAACTTTATAAACCCAGAACACTTGTAGAAATTTCCTAGCCCTTAGCTATTAAATTAGTGGTTAACCTGTTTGGCAGCATAGTCACATCCATAAATTGGGTTTGATCTTTATCCTACAGATGGGATTCCCACATGTAATATTATCAGGCTAATTTTTTTCTCTCCAGAATTGCTTCTTTCCTTGATTTAAAAAACAATAATAAGTGCCCTCTTCACTTGGTGGTAAACGGAGCTGTGTGATCATGCATTCCAGAGTCAAAGAGTTCAAGGAGATGCCTCCGTGTTTTATGATTTTAGCAGACTCTTATCACAGCCACTTGCTTTTGTTTCTATAAAGGCAGAAGTCCTTTTTTCTGGCTTTTTTTTTTTCCTGCAGTAAATACTCATAAGAATTTTACCATGTGCAAGTATTTTAAAAATTTGAATTTTAGACATAAATGTAAAGGTTCAAAAATTAGAAAAAAATATTGCCTTTTGAAGTTTGTTTTTCTGTCTAACTTATTCACATACAGAAATAATTATTTGCAGAAATACTGTAAAAATTTTTAAATTTTTCTAAGAAAGTAAGATACAAATTGGGTTCTTAGGATGTCCTTGTATAGCTGGCTACAGTGTAAACTGGCTGCTATTTTCCAATGTTTGCTGTCTGCGTTAATTAATGCCTTTGGTTGCTATGGTGAATTAAAGAGCACAAGAAGATGTACACAAAGAATTGAACTTGTATTTTCCACTTAACTTTGACCATCATATAAAACATTTTGCTGTATATTTTACCATTGGCTTCATCAGAACATCTGCTTTTAAAATTCACCATGGAAAGGAAAAACATCAGAGAGATTAAAAACTCTTTTTCATAGATACCCTTCTGTAGACCAGATTGAATACGTAGAGGAGGCTCTGGAAACGTGCATTTGTGTTTCTATGATCAGATGCAGCGAGGTCACCTTTGTTAGGTACGCAGTTGAGCCTAGCACTCAGTCCCTATCCTAGTATTTATGTTTTGTCCACACATCTGTATAACCTGCACCCACAGATAGCTATCCATGACATTTTCTTCCCTCTTTAAAAATACCCTGCACCCTGCAATTATCAACTAAAGGACAACATTCTAGAAGTCTGCTTGAGTTATTCTCTCCCAGTTCTCATTTTTCTTTTCCATAACAGACAGCTGTATTCTTGAGGTAGATTAGTTGTAGTTGTCAGTACCTTTATTTTTTTATTTATTTTTTTACGTGGTGCTGAGGATTGAACCCAGGGCCTCACATGCGCTAGGCAAGCGCTCTACCGCTGAGCCCCAGCCCCAGCCCCAGCCCAACAATCTGTGTAATTCATCAGTGTTCAAATAAACCCGTATGATGGACCTCAGTAGTGTTGTCCCTCACCATAAGGGACATTGCACATGGAATCTTACTGTTACAAAACACTCAATTGGTAGAGTGCTTGCCTCAAATGCACAAAGCCCTGGGTTCAATCCCCAGCACCACCACCAAAAAAAAAAAATACTCCTCCAGGTGTGGTGGTAATCCCAAAGACTCGAGGCTGAGGCAGGAGAATTGTGAATTTAAGTTTAGCCTCAGCAACTTAGCAAGACTGTAAGCAACTCAATGAGACCCTGTCTCTAAGTAAAATATCAAAAAGGGCTGGGGATATGGCTTAGAGGTTAAGTGCCCCTGGGTTCAATCCCCAGTACCAAAAAATAAATAAATAAAATACTCGTTTTCTGAGAATATATTGTCTGTATTCTCTGGTCTCTCTTCTTTCTTTTTACTTAGCCACCAGTATTCAGTCATGGGAGTCCACCCCGATAACTTTATCTAACTCTAATCAGCTCCCAGAGGTCCTGCTTCTAAATGCCATAGCCCCCTCACCAAGGGAATTAAATTTCAGGATATGAACCCTTGGGGGACACCCTCAAATAATATCTAAACCCTAGCAGGTAGCCACTAGCTACATGTGACTATTGAACACTTGAAATGTGTCTAAAGGTACTGAGGAGCTGAACATTTTTATTTTATTTTGTTTTAATTAAGTTAAATTTGAATAACCATATGTAGCTAGTAGACACACTATTAGAGCAGATCTAGGGAGTATGTTAGGTTAGGAAGGAAGAAGAACCAATGACTAGACTCTGGGCACTATATCATTAAGAGATTAGGGAGATGAAATAGACTCATCAAGAGACACTGAAAAGTAACAGCCAACGGAGTAGGGAGAAAACAAAGAATGTGTATCCTGGAAACCAAGTCAAGAAACTATGTCCAGGAGGAACAGTGATCAACTTAGTCAAAAGTTGCTGACAGCTGGGCATGATGGCCCAGGCCTGGAATCCCAGCTACTCAGGAGACTAAGGCAGGAAGGTCACAAATTCAAGGCCACTCTGGGCAACTTAGGAAGACCCTATCTCAAAATTAAAATAAATAAATAAAAGGGCTGAGGTTGTAGCTCAGTGGGAGAGCACCCCAGGTTCAATCCCTAATACCAAAAGAAAAAATATTTAAAGAAAATAACTGAAATGAGAAAGGACCTTATTTTTCAGTGTAGCCTTTTGTATTTTATACTATGTGCATGCATTTATCCTTTCAAAATCAATTATTTTTTAAAAAAAACAAACAAACATGATTTTAGATAAATATACAGCAGTCTAACTTTTTAAGTGATATGGTGTTAGTCTATTGTTTCAGGTGGGTAGTCTTGAATGATGTTTATTTTGTCTTAAACAGTAAACTTAGTCCTGTCAGTGCCACATACCTGTAATCCCAGTAATTCAGGAGGCTGAAGCAAAAGATTGCAAATTTGAGGCCAGTCTCAGCAAGTTAGTGAGGCCTTAAGCAATTTAGCAAGACCCTGTCTCAAAATAAAAAATAAATGGGCTAGGATATAGGTCAGTGGTAAAGGACCCTTGAGTTCAATACTCAGTACAAAAAAAAAAATGCAAATTTAGAATTTGGGTACAGTGACACACATTTATAATTCCCGCTACTTTGGAGACAGACAAGAGGATTACAATTCAGTTCTTTTGTGTCTCATGGTTTTAAGTCCCATCAATATAGAAATGTAATAATTGACTCTACCTTGTTGATTGCATTTCTTCATAATTGGGAAATTTCTGCAATGTGAAGACTATCTGAACATCCTTAAATAGCTACAGTACCTGATTCTGTTCTGTGAAGTTCCACTAAAACAAATACCCTCTACATTAATTAATTAATTCCTTCCAGGTGTCTTAGAAAGAGAGAGACAAACAGAAAGGAAATGTAGAGTTGGAGTTTTATTTGAGATTTATACATAAGCGTGTGTATCTCTTAATTAAAGATGTTTCTGGTTGAGTATTATGTCATAACCTCCAAAATGGGTGTTTCTGCTTGATGTAGTTTTAAATAGTGTCCAATGAGTAATTTAATAAAATTGCTTTCCTTCTAAGATAAAGTAATTTTATCTTTCTGATGGCACAAGGAAAAGAAAACAAGACAAATAATAGCTTTAAAAAATAACATGAGGGGGCTGGGTTTGCAGCCCAGAGCGCTTGCCTCATACATGTGAGGCACTGAGTTCCATCCTCAACACCACATAAAAATAAATAAACAAAATAAAGATATTGTGTCCATGTGTAATTAAAAAATATTTAAAGAAAACAACATAAGGGGCTAGGGTTATAGCTCAGTGGGATAAAACACTTGCCTAGTCTGTGTGAGGCACCTGGGTTCCATTCTTAGCACCACATATAAATAAATGAAAAAAAAAGCTACAAAAGAAAAACTTAAAGAATTAGAAGTTTAAAAAATAATAATATGAGGGACTGGGGTTGTGGCTCAGTGGTAGAGCATAGCATGTGTGAGGCACTGGGTTCAATTCTCAGCCCTGTATATAAATAAATAAATAAATAAAATATAGATCCATTGGCCGGGTTTGGTGGCCCATACCTGTAATCACAGTGGCTTAGGAGGCTGAGACAGGAGTATCATGAGTTCAAAGCCAGTCTAGCAGCAGTGAGGTGCAAGGCAATTCAGTGAGACCCTGTCTCTAAGTAAATACAAAATAGGGTTAAGGATGTGGCTCAGTGGTCAAGTGCCCCTGAGTTCAATCCCCAGTGCCCTCCTTCCCCCAAAATCCATCAACAATTTAAAAAAAAAAAAAAACACTTTTTTTTAAATAGTAATAATATGAGTTTGTTGATATCTGCAAAAGAAGCTCATAGGAGAATCATTCATTTGTTATGAAGCCATTTTAATAGATAGAAACACAGTAAAACAACCTAGTGTCCCCAAATTAAGCTAGTGGCTGAGCTGATATGTGATATGTCAACATGTCCAGTATCAAAATTACACCCACTTTTTGTTGTTGTTATTGTTTCCATGGTTTCTTTTTCTTGCTTTATCAAAGGATTCCAAAACAAAAAATTTAAGAAGAGGTGGAGTTCTTGGAAGTGCTATTAATTTATGTGTTACGTTCTTTTTATGTACTCAAAATACTAAATGTTTCTAGTTCGAGTGTTATGGATATCCAAATATACTATTACTTTCCGAAATGCTTTGAGGTCCTTGGACAGAAGCCATTGTAATAACACTGTACCAACTATTTGACACAGGGTATACATGAAAGGAGATTCATGATACAAGTCCAAATTAGTGCTGATATCATGTCACAGTATGGTATTCTGCAGCCTCTTGATTATGAAAGATTATTTCTACATTTGGTTCCAGCAAACACTATTGTGCTATTCTGAAATCCACAGCACAGAAATTATAAGACATCCGCTCATACACAGAAAGCAAATCACTATTCAGCATTTCCTGTTCTGTTTCCTGCCAATTTCAGATAATTAAAACTTTTTTTAAACCTTTTATTCTATTCTGCTTTAATTCTGCTTCCTCCACCAAAAAAGAAAGATTAAGAAATTAAAACTCTATATAATAACAACAACAAATCTTTGCCCTAGTTTTTTCTTATCCTGTGACATTATCTCTGTCTTCATTTTCTCAGACCTCAAGATATCATTGTATTTGTAATTGGAGGAGCCACCTATGAGGAGGCTCTAACAGTTTATAACCTGAACCGGACCACTCCTGGAGTGAGGATTGTCCTGGGAGGAACCACGGTGCACAACACAAAAAGGTAAAAGACAACAACCATCCCTGCAGCTCTCTCCCTTTTCCCAGAGAATAAAGCTTAAATTCCCTGTAGGTTGGAGAGATTGGTCAGTGATGACCAAACTCCTATTAACCAAATGCTCTGTGTATGCAGCATCAGTTCATAGAATAATTGATCATTTGTGAGATGAAGGTTCTATAGTCCCTTAAGTTCATCACTCACTTTATTAGGTCAAAGACCTGGAGAACCATCCTATGCTGTCAACAATTTGTGTGTTCTGTGTTCAAATAAAGAGAAACCCAGTAGTCATAGGCTGGCATTTTAAAAATAGCTAAGCATAATGGCATTGAATTGACAGTTTTTCTATATTGTCATTAAGTACATTGTTTAATAAGTATTTAGTAAGAAGACTACAAAGACAAACTGAAGATCTTGTCTCAAGTTAGTCATTGTCTATTAGGAAAGACAGAACAAAAAAGTAAGAAAATAAGTGCCTGGAGAGACAGAGAAAAGACTCATGGATTCTTAAGAGTGGCTATAGGAAATCAGCAAACGTTTCATGGAAAAGACAGTATGAAAACTATGCCTTAGGCAGAAAACCGGCATATGGAAAGAGAGTATATTCTAGGTAGAGTTAACCACAAGGACAATTTGTGAAAGCTGTAGACAACAAACATACACAAAGAACAAGTAGTCAGCTATCTGGAAGGAGTGTTAAAGTAAAAAGATTGTTATAATTATGGAAGGGCTTAGATGCTAGGCTAAGTAAGGAATTTGTACTTTTTTATGTAGAAAATATTGAAAGTTTTTAAGCAATGAAATTTTAAAAGAGTCACAGTACTTTAGGAAGATTAATTTGTCAGCAAAAGGTAGAGGAAAGAGAAACTGGAGAATTGTGGCAAGATGATTGAATTTAGTGATTGGGGCCCCTGAGAGAGCAATGCATGGATAACTGGGAATCATTAAAGATATTTGTGTATTTTTCTTTGTGTATTATTATTTGGTTTAAAAAAATACAACTTTCACCTTTATTATGATATAATATATGCTTATTCTGAAATTCGTTTGTTTGTTTTTTAATTCAGGAAGCATATAGAAAATAAAACCTACCATAATCTAATCACTGTTACATTTTGATCTTTTCAGACTTCTTCTAAGCCTGTATAGCCATTTGTGTTGAGTGTATGGGCAGAAATAGTTCTCATTGTACAGTCTGCCTTATAAGTTTCATTTCACAGTTTGATAGAAACACCTTTAGTGTTTTATATATATATATATATATTTTTTTCCTCCCACTCAGGTAAATTACCTAACATCTTTGTCAGTGTCCAGAGCTCATTGACCATTTGTATATTTTTTGGGTGAATTACCCATTCATGTTCTCTACTCATTGCCAGGTATTTTTTAATTTTTATGAATAATTTTTCAAAAATTCTGTATATATAATTAAAAATTTTGTCCATTCACATTGTATTTTACAAATCTTTTTCTTCTGTTTGATGTTTTTATTTTATTCAGTGTTTTGCAATATGAAAGTTTTCTTGTTATTGTGTTCATTTTATTTAGCCAAAACGACCAGCGATTTCTGCCTTTGGTATTATGCTTGGAAAGTTCTTTCTCCATCAAGATTATACTAACTATACTAACATCCATTTTTCCATTGCTTTTAGAACTCATATTTAAACTTATATCTTCATAATCTATCAGAATTTTATTTTGGTTTAAACTGTTCTGTAGAGTTTTCTTTTAAAACTTTGAAAGAACTATTTTATTGAACTATTATTGTATTTTTGTCATTAAGTACATTATTTAATAAGTATTTAGTAAGAAGACTACAAAGACAAACTGAAGATCTTGTCTCAAGATAGTGCTCCTGACTATCAAATACCTGGCATCTTCTCTAACACTACTTCTCCATTTCTCTCGATACCAACTGGATGCTGAACAATTCAATTCTAACACTAACTGGAGTTAGCATCAGATCTCACGAATTAAAGAGACTCATTTCCACAAGACTGTCGGTCCTTCAAATGCCAGTCACAAGTCCCAGACCACCCATACTCTGTCTGACCACCTATAAATTCAGGATTCTCATGACCACTTCTCCAAGTTTGAGAATTTATTAGAAGAGCTCACAGAACTTTACTTGCTTTACTTGCATTGCCAAGTTATTAGGAAGGACACAACTCAAAAAACAGCCAAATGGAAGAGATGCACAGGGCAAAGTACAGTGGCGAGAGGGATTTTCCAGGTCTGCTCCAAGCACACCACCCTCCCAGTACCCTACCAGGCTGGAAGATCTTCCAACCTAATCATTTAGGGGAATTTAAACAGGTTTCATTATTTGTGTCAATGGATTAAATTATGATTGATTAAACTATTGGCCATCTGGGATTAACTCAATCTCTAGTCATTTTCTCCTCCCTAAAGGTTAAAGGGTGGGCTGAAAGTTCTGAGCTTTAGATCAAGACTTGGTCTTTCTAGTGACCAGTCCCCTATCCTGAAATATGTAGGCATCCTTCAAGGATGGCCTCATTGGTATAAAAGACACTCTTATCACCCCTCAGCAAGTTTCAAGGGTTTTAGGAGCTATGTATCAAGAATGAGGGACAAAGTCAGATATCTTAATGTGATACCACATACATGTATTAAATATAGAAAAATATATAAATGATAAGACATCTCAATAAAATATCACAAAACAAATAATTCAGTATAGCCACTGCCAGCACCCTCAAAATCACCTCTTTTGCCCACTCCATGTCTTAACTCCCCACAAAGTAATCAATATTAAGACCTCTGTCACCATAGATTACTTTTATTTGTCCTTAAAACATATTTGTTGGGGCTGGGGATGTGGCTCAAGTGGTAGCGCTCTTGCCTGGCATGCGTGCGGCCTGGGTTCGATCCTCAGCACCACATACAAACAGAGATGTTGTGTCTGCCAAAAACTAAAAAATAAATATTAAAAAAAAAAAACATATTTGTTGCCAGGCATGGTGGCGCACACCTGTAATCCCAGCAACTTGGGAGGCTGAGGCAAAAGAATTGCACGTTTGAGGCCAGTTTCAGCAGCCTAGCAAGCAACTTAGTAAGATCCTGTCTCAAAACAAAAAAATAAAAAAGGTTGGGGGATGGGGTTAGGGATTTAGCTCAGTGGCACCCCTGGGTTTAATCCTCAGTACCCTCCCCCCCAAAAAAGATACTTGTTTACTTGTTGAATAAAGAAATAGAGAAATAGACACCAAATTTTTCCCTCCTGTGCTGTGGATCAACCTAGGCAAGCACTCTACCACTGAGTTACATCCTCAACCGCCATAGAGGTTAAATTAATCTATCTCAAACTTTTCTCACAAATAGATTTGCCACCCATTTTCCTCGGTTTGTTTGTTTCATCCTGACTCTTTCATTCAGTTTTCTTCTTACTAAAGAATATCCTGTAGTAATTCTTTCAGCTACTGGTCAACCTGGCATTTTTGTCGGAAAATGTCTTAGTTTAGCTAAGTTTAGAATTCTAGGTTGATAGTTTTCTCTCAGCACTTAAAATCAAGATGAAAATGGACTATTAACTGTTGCCATTAAGAAGTTTGCTCTCATTATCATTATTTTCCTTTTGTAGGTAATCATCTATGATTCATTTTTAATATTAGTCTTTAATGTTTTGGCTTTAATATTCTGTATCTAAATGTTTATATATTTTTATTTATGTTACTTGATATGAAAATTTGTGTTTGGCATATTTTTGGAAGTTTTCCAGTCACATTTCTTTGAGTATCGCCACTCTTTCATTTCCTCTTCTCTCTCCTTCTAGAACCTCTTATGAGATATATGTTGGACATTCATCTGTTCTTCGGGCTTCTTAACCTTTCATTTATATCACCTATCTGTTTTTTCTATTTGCTGCCTTCTGTGTAATTTTTTCAGATCAGTATTCCAATGCAGTTAAACTCTCTCTAGCTGTATCTAATTTACATTTAATTAAATTTTAATTTAAAAGTTACATTTTATACCTATAAGTTCTATTTGCTTCTTATTCAGATTTGCCTGATATTTTTAATACTGTGTTTTTTTGTGTTTTCAACTCCTTCATCATCTTTCAAAGCCCATAATTTTTCTTTAGAAATTACAGGAGTACCTACAGAAGTTAAGTACCTCTATAATCTAAAGTACTTGGAGGTGTGATACTACTATTGTATCTGCTAACATTAGCTCACAACGAATCATTTCCACATGTTCTATTAGTTTGAACCATAAGTCATTTTAAGCAGAGTTTTATTTATGGGACCCAAGAGGCCTAGGTTGAAGATATATTTCTCCTGCATAGTTTTCCTTTCACTTTGGCTAGGTATATCAAGAACATTATCAGTCTGGAATCATTTTTATGTTGATTTCTATATAGTACTTGAGGTTTCCTGCACTGTTCAAAACAGTGCCAATTTAGGTTCAAACTTCCTTGTTATCTCTCTGTACAGATAGATTTTTTGTAAATCTACTTTTTTAGTATGGTCCTCTACATTATGTGGGAGTCTTGATTCTAATTCCTCTTCGTATTGAAGTGTATGCCTTGTTTCCTGACCCTATGTGGCTTTTAAAACACAATGCTCTTGTTTAATAACACTAGCACACGTCTATCAGGTAGCCATAGCATTGGCTTATACTTACCAACCTAAGTTCTGACTCCATTTTTGTGATGACTCTGGAGACTTCATTTCTCCTTAGGAGGTTAGATATTCCAGAGACTAGTTATTTTAAAGGGAAAGGAAGGAAGGTGAATGTATTACCCAACAGGTCCTGAGTACCACCTGAACAATCACCTGTCCTGCAGTTTAGCACTTCTTAAGACGTTTTGGGGTTTTTTGTTGTTGTTGTTGTTTTACATTTTTTTAAAGTTGTAGATGGACATACTACCTTTATTTATTTATGTTTTTGTGGTGCTGAGAATTGAACCCAAGCGCTCCACCACTGAGCCACAACCCCAGCCCCTTCTTAAGACTTTGGACAGACAGAAAAGTAAATCCTGCTAG